AAGAATTCAGTGAGACAACGTGATAGGTAAGAATTGGATTTATTTAGCGAGGAACACACTCCACAGACAGAGTGTGGGCCATCTCAGAAGGCGAGAGGCCTCAAAATATGACGTGGTTATTTTTTATGTTCTATGTAATTTCACAGGCTGAGTGGGAGGATTATTCCAACTACTTCCCGGGAAGGGGCAGGTATTTCCAGGAATTGGGTCACTACCCACTTTTTGGCCTTTTAGAGTTAGCCTTAGAACTGGCAGGTCGCTGGTGGGTGTGTTATTTACATGCTCATGTATTACAATGGGAGTATAATGAGCCTCAAGATCCACTGGAAATCAAATCTTCCGCCATCTTGGACCTAATTTGTTCAAACCTGTTTGTTTTAGTCAAGTCCTATGGATATGTCATTCCTTTAAAGGCTGTGCCCTGCCCCTTCCCTCCTGTTTCACCTCTTTCTTCCACAAAGGGATAGCCATGAAAAACATGGGTAAAGTCACACCACATTGCGCAAAAGAAGGAAAACATATTACATTCATAAAAAACTTTTAAAACAAGCAAAACTAAACAAGACACGTCAAATAGTTCCCACATAGTTGGCAACACTATCAAGAAAAGAAAGGAAATGCTTCAAACAGCAGCCAATACATTAACTTGATCGGGATGGGGATAATTGTTTGGAAGAACCCCACAGGCTGCTTCTGAGGTCCTATTTATATAGCAATTTTGGCCTGAGCGGTGAACGGATATTAATCTCAGAGCGTCTTCAACCGCACATTGAAGTCCTGCAATTTTTTTTCCCACGCAGGTCATATTTCAAACTTCGGAAAGCCAAGATTTGGGGGTACAAATAATAACTATAGGATACTAGTAAAAGGACACAGATAAAACACTGCTGAATGAGAAGAGTTGGGGGAGGGCCCGGATGACGCAGCATTTACCTGAATCAGACACATCTGCGCCAGCGCCAGCGGAGTTTGTGGGTGAAGGTGGGGCCCGGGCACTGCGGCAGCAACCGCCCAAGACAGAGGCCGGATGGCGCCCACGCCGAGCCTCAGACGAAGCTCAGAGAAGCGGGCACGGCGCCTTCCTGGCTCCCTGACCTCTGGCCTTCACAGCGTTGCAAAGTTCCCCGCCTGTGAACACAGCCGAGTTTACAAAATAACGACCTCAGTCGACGCCGGAAAAGCCGCCCAGACTCCGTCCTCTAGAACGGAAGTGACTCTTTCCTGAGCCTTCATTGGCCCAGGGGCGCCCACAAACCGGCGTAGTTTTTTTCCGGGTAATGCAGTTCACAGGCCTCTAGAAGCTGGCAAGGGGTGGTGCTCCCCGCCTACAGGAAAAGCCCTGCCTCACTGCCCCGGCTTCTGGGAA